CCATGTAACATTAGCCATGAGAGAGTTGACTCTTTACATCTTGCTGCTTTTGTTAATTTCTGCCTGATTGAGAAAATTAAAACTTAATTTTCTTGCAATAATGATCTTTTGCATTGCAATCAGAACTTCAACATTAGAGTTTATGAGTAAGTCCACCATTTCTCTTATTCTTAAGGGGTTGAGATTATAGAGCAATTCTTTTATAATTAGATAATACTATATAATACTGCACTGTTATATTTAATATAGCTCATCATAAATGAAGTTTAATAAACTCTGATTGCTTGACTAATGCATAGTTTGATTGCTTCTTCAGAGTTGAATTTAATGAAAATATATGGTCACTATACTTATTGATGTAATAAACCCCCACTGTAATGACCATTATCATTAGATTTGCAAAACAAAACCTTACCAAAATGACTTTAATCAGTGCTTTTAATTCAAGGCTGTGATTCCAATTTTGGGGGTCACTTTTATATTTTGGTTTTGTATTTTTTTAAGTCCATGTGTATGTATAGCTCTATAGTTTGTACAAAGGAGTAAGATCCATGTTTACTTCCATGTGTTTTGAGGAAAAGATATTTACATCTATATAAATTAAATTCAGAAATGATTTGAGAACTTTTTCTAAAAGAACATTTAGAAATGAAATGATGTTTAACTATTTTTTTTAAATACTGTTTTTCTGTGGAATGTGTTTTCAAGATCACTTCATATGAAGGTGATTGGTTTAATCTTTCCCCAAAGCAGTTCTTTACAGTTCTTTGAACTTCCTGTTTGGTGTCGTTTTGTTACTGTAATGGATTGCTTTTGTACATTTCATTTTGATTGACATTCCGTCACGTTGCAGAAAGCATCTATTTTCTATTGTTAATCATTTAATTGTGACTTATACTATGATTTCAGTAGATTTTTAGTATAGAATGGCCAAAAGTCACAATTTCTGAAACTCAGTCTCTTTGTGTTTGCTGAAGATTTTCCTTTCAGCACACCATGGTCATTTCTGTTCTCTCAAACAATTTTAAAGAAAGGTTTTAAATATCATGATATTTATGAACTATGGTATTTGTGAAATCAAAATTATAAATATTTTTATTTTTGTTTATATGCATATGTGTGTATGTGTTTACCTGAGTGTCTAATGTATGTGCAGGTTCCTGCAGGATCAGAAAAGGTTTTGGATCTTCTGGAGCTGGAGTTACAGGTGGTTATGAGCCACCTGATGTGGGTGCTGGATACTGAACTTGTATAGTCTACAAAAGTAGTATGTGTTCTGAACTGCCGAGCCATTTCTCTAGCGCCTGAAAGCAAATATTTTAGTAAGAGAAATGTATTAGAAAATAGCCTTATTACAGTAAATGTTCACATTTATATAGAATGTATGTTCTGTAGTAGAATAAAATTTATAAATCAAGAAATCAAGAGCAGAGTGTTTTTCTTTATGGCTCTCTATCATAAGTAATTGCGATAATTTTTTACATGTACATAATTTGCTTTGTGCCTTGGGGTGCTCTATCATTCTTGAAAGTAAATATTAGGAAAAAAATTCTTCAAGAATAAAATAGAGCACAGTCATTCTCCAGTTTTATTTTCAACCAGGGTTCCACATTTGGTTTGCCAATAGTCAAATTTTAAATTTAAGAGGCACTCTAGAAATAGAAATATAATAAACATTCCATGTCAAGGGATCTGCAAAGCTACAAACAGGACATCATAGGACATGCACTAGGTAAAAGATTTCAGTTTTTGTTTTATGTAGTACAAGGGTCAAGAGGGAAGAAGTAGCAGGTAGCCTGGGGCCAAGTCATATAGCGCTTGAATGCCTTTGGGTTATTAGTCCTTACAGTATCAAAAGGCATTAAATATTTATGAAAGGGAGTATGAGAGTCAGTCATAATCATTATTGAGCCTTAGTGTACCAAACATTGTTTTAGGCATCAGAAACACTGCCTAAAACCAACGGAAAAGAAACCCTATCCTTATACTGCTCACATTATAGTGAGCAGAACAGACGGTTGGGGCTGTAGCTCAGTGGAAGAGCGATTGCTTAACATGTACAAGGCCATGGGTTACATCCCCAGCACTAGCGAAAACAAAGCAAAAGCCAGCACACAATGAATAGCGATAGATTGGTATATTAAATTTTATTGGAAGAAAGAAAGAACAACAAGGGAATGTGGGGATTAGGCCCACATTATTACTAGAAGAGTGTTACCAGAGTAGGCCTTACTGAGAAAAAAACATTGCTAGGGATTAAGGAGCAAGTTGTACAGATAACAGAAATGAGTGTTGCAGGCAGAGCGAAGAGTGAATTCCTGTGGGTGATTGCTTTTCTTGGGAGCAGTGAGGTGGTTAGTGTGAATGGAGCTAGTTGAATGAAGAGGAAGCAGTAAGAAGTGAGGTCAGGGGTCTTGCAGTCGCTGTAATGACTCTGAGTTGCTTTGGAAGGGAAAATAGAGTCATTGCAGGTTTGAGCTGAGGAGTGACATGACTTTGGTTTTCAAAACTTTGCCTTTTTCAAAACTCACTGTAAGAGAACAAAGATAAAGTAAGGGAAACAAGATAGGAGGTTACTAAGAAAATCTGAATAACAGCTGATGGTAGCTTGAGGTAGAGGTTGTGTGTGTGTGTGTGTGTGTGTGTGTGTGTGTGTGTGTGTGTGTGTGTGTGTTTACTGAACAGTTAGTCTTTAGGCTATTGGAAATAAAGCTTGATGTAATGTAGAAGTCTTAAGCATAGACAAATGGAATGCATAAATGGTACACTTTTATTTGTAAAATGAAAATTTTTACGCAGATTATCTTATAGTTCACCCAACAAAAAGAACATCAAATCAAAAATAGAACTGTGAGAATATTCTTCCTGTAAAACCAAGTGAAAAGATAACATTTCTATTTTTCTTGTGTTTGTCTCCACTGATTAAATTGTCAACATGTGTTCAATTGAGATACAGATTTGAAGCATTTCTGACATACATGTACCTTAACTTAGGGAATTTGACTACAGCAAATCATTTTTCTTCTAATTTATATTCTTGCTTTGGAGATATAGATGTTTCCAATCATAACTTTATAACCCTGAAGGAATGGAAGAAAAGGAAAGCAGAAGTTGCTTTAAGAGTTAGGTAATCTATCTCAAAAACCCAGGTGGACAGGCTCATGTCAGATGTTAGCAGGGTCACTTCAGATCTGTAATTGTGCTTTACAAGAAATCAAGGCTATCACTGTGCATGGAAATTTTCTGTAACCCACCACAGAAACTCAAGAGAAAATAGTAGGTGGAGAAAGTTCTAAGGTGAATTAATCTTTTAAAGATTGCTTTAGTTTTGATGTAAATAATCCCTATTTTTGTCTTTTGTACTTGTGTATGATGCATTTGTGTGTGCAAGTATGTATGTATATATGTGTATATATGTGTGTGGGCACGTGTGTGTCTGTGTGGGCACTTAAATGTGTGTATGTATGTGGTGGGTATGTGAATGTGCCTCTGTGTGTATGGTGTGTGTGTGTGTGTGTGTGTGTGTGTGTATACATACATTCCAGAGCATGTTCATGCATGAATGGAGGTCAGAGAACAGCTTTGGGTGTTTCTAGGTCCTCACCTCTTTATCTTGTTTGAGACAAGGCCTCTTTTTTGTTCTTTCCTGCATGGTTGATCGGCTCACTAGCTATCATGGGTTCTCCTGTCATTTTATTGTCAGAGTACTGATATTATAGATGCACAGTACTGCACCTGGCTTAAGGTGGGTTTCAGTCTCAGGTTTTCCCATTTGTTCAGTAAGCAATTTACCTACTAAGCCATCTTCCAAGCCCCTCTTTTGTTTTTCCAAGGCAATAAAGATTGGTTGTGGTTTATGATGATTTAGAACAGGGATTAGAAGTTTAAATTCCTGAGGGAATCGAAGAATTCAAAATACAAAGAAGATCTATTCATGCACTAGTACATTTGCCGCAGCTGTTCTCGGGAAGGGTTATCTTTAATAGCACAGAGAGGATAGTAGTAATTGTAGGCAATTTCCTGAGATTTTGAGACAAGCAGTTTTGACTTATTGAAAACTCACAATGGAATTCTCTGCAGTGAAAGCACTGTATTTTACTTAGTAAAAATACATGCCAACATCCACAACCATGTTAAATATACTTTATTCAGCTTCTTCTGTAAGAAACAAGATTATGAAAAAAGTCAGAAGGGCTAAATTCAATTTCTAACTATTGTGGAATGGTTCTTCCCTAAATCTATGTCTTAAATGACATTTTAGTGTATTGTCATGTGCTCCGTGAAGAGTCTGAGACAGAGATGGTACTACACATATGGTGATCCTGTAATAGTATATCATCTAATGACATCCTTGTTTGCTTAAGTATGCTCTGTGATGTTTACCTAACAATGAAGTCACTTATTGTACATTTCTATAAACATATCACCATCATGAAGTGATGTGTGGCTATACTTAAATGATGAGATCTAGAATTTATACTGACTGTATGCTATTGTAAGACTTTGAAATACCCTTTGAATCCTGAAGTTTATTGAATTGTTAGTTTTGTTATATTTTAACAGTTTACTCACTAAGTAATGGTGGTTGTACGTGACATTGCTACTGTTATTTTTTATTTTAATTTAATCATCTTTAAAATAATTGTCATTACCAAACCTTTTCAAAGACTGTAGAGGAAGATAATTTCACTGACTCATTTGTCATATTTGAACACTGTTATACTGAACCAGATGTGAAAGGGGGATCTTAGCATCCATATTTAAAGACAAATAGATAACCCTTCCCCCAACCAAGCCTTCATTTGTAATTCCTACAATTTTCTTCATTTTGTAATGGATGTATTATTTGAATGTTGAACTTCATAATTTTTTTTGACAATTTATATTTGATAAACAATGAGAATCATTCAATTCATTCAGTTATTGTTGTCTTGTTTGACCTAGGAATTTCTCTTATCTGACTTTTTTTTTGTTTGTTTGTTTCCTTTTGGTTTTAATAGAACATTCAAATAAAAACTTTGGCAGATGATGTGGTAAGGTGGTGTGAGTAGCATGTTATTGCATTGCTTCTGCATGTTACATTTTCATTAAAAAAGTGGACATTAAAGCATGGAAATATGCAACATATAAAGTAACTAAATATTTAGAAAATAGAACAGAATAGGATAATTACCAATAGAATAATTTCTCCTTTTTCACATATTAATATAACAACTGTATCCAGGCATAATGGTGCATATCTGTAATTCTAGCACTCCAGAGGCTAAAAGAGGATTATTGCAAGTTGGAGGTCAGATTGGTGTACATAGGGAATTCTAGGTCAGCCAGGGCTACCCAGTGCCTCACTCTTCTTCAAAAACAGAAGCAACTTACATGAACAGTTGGGTTAGATCCCAGCTAAATTATATATTTTTATCATCCTACTATATACCAAAAAGTATTTTAAAGTTTGGTGCATAAATGTGGACCCTGGAAAACATGAACATTTTCTATTTTGATAGCCAAATAAATTTTGAATACATTAAATATTGATATTAGAAGAAATTATTTACAAATCAAAAAAATTAAGTTCATTATCTTATTCAGATTTGTGGTGTTGAATTTAAAAGCTTACAGGTTTTCAAGCTCAGACTACAGTAGTAATTCTTATTAAAATTTATTCATTTATTTATTTTGGTTTTTCGAGACAGGGTTTCTCTGTAGCTTTGGAGCCTGTCCTGGACTAGCTCTATAGAGCAGGCTGGCCTCAAATTCACAGAGATCCACGTGCCTCTGCCTCCCAAGTGCTGGGATTACAGCCGTGTGCCACCACTGCCCGGCAAAATTTATAAGCTAATATTTAAATGCACTCTTTATACTTAAACTTTCTTGAATAGTATTTTAAGCAGTTTCATTTTTTTTTTTCTGCAAGAAGTTACCTATCTACAAAAGATGTAAAACAATGTTCCTGCTCTAAGAAGATGAAAGTAGACAGACAGCTTGACTTAATCTTCTTACCAAAATACAACTGAAATAAAAAAGCATTTTTTTTTTTTTGCACTAAAATGAAGCACATAGACATATCAAATCTATATGTTAGTAATGCCGATACTCAGTACAAAAGCCTGGACTGTATAAATATTTTTAATTGATATGAAGTGAATGGGGAAGAGATATATTAATTTAGTGGCCAATTGCATATTTAAATGCTTTCATGTCCACCATATCTTTAAGTAAAACTTGACTCAGTTTATTTGGGATTACTAAAATTATTTTTCTTGAGTTGTGTGAAGATACTACCTATCTAAACCAACTTGGCTGCCCTCAAAGTGTTAAAACAAAATTTAATAATACAGTGCAAATAATTTTAAAGAAATAATTGTAATGTGAAAGCCAAGACTGGAACCAGGGACTCATGATTTTAAGTGAGTTAACTGTCTGTGAGTTGAGGGAGTTGGTTTAGATGTTATTTCATTTTTTTCCCAGCTCTAAAATATTATGGTTTCTATAATCTTTCTGTAAGCAACCATATACTCAAATAATTTTTGTAATCCTAACTAAGCTGCTTAAGACTGCTTTCTTCAAAGTACATATTATGGTTTAAGAGAAACATTATTTCAATCAGTAAAATAAAGCACATGTTCTCTTAGAGTGTCAACAAAGTTTTACATAAAAACTGTAGTAATGTTTGTAATGTTTTTGTATTCTTAAGGTTATTTAAAAGGACTGTGGTAACATGACAGTGCACATTCACTGTCCTCATAGCTAACATGCCTGCTTGCTTAATGTGACCTGGTGATATTGCATGTGCTTTCTAACAGACACCAGAATAAAACTGAGTTGCCTTCAGTTTTATGAATGTTACTAATGTTTGATGTCAAATATTTGGTAGCTCTCAAATCAAATGGTCTGTTGACATGCAGCCAAAGTCCTTGACTCCCTTGGTATGAAAAGAGCAAGCTAATTGTTAGAGATTATATATGGTATCAATGGTTTAAAGGAAATATCCATAAAGTAGTGAGTTCATTAGAATAATATATGGATGAGAAAGGTATTTGTTTACATTTCCAGCAAATGGAATGAGTGCTTTAGCTTTCTTTTCACTTTCAATAGGTGCCAAATATTTGGGAAGGGAAAAGTTGAGGAATATAGTAATAACAGTAAGTAATAACATCGACACACAGCAAGTGTATTTCTCTCTCACAATTAACCTATAGTGTAAAGAGGAAACAGTGACAGAAAATAATTTCCTGATGACTGATTCTGATATACTGATTTTTTCAGCTTGGATTTGAACTCACTGTGTCTGTCTTCAGACTCCATGCTATTCAGTTTAGTCAACTGCTACACTGACAGTTATTCATATATACTTGTTACAATTTTTGTAGTATGCAGAAGAAAAACATTACCCTAAATTTCCCTTTGAGTTTGAAATCAGTACCTGTTTTCTTTCTCTCTTTCCATAGCATGAAGTTGGCACCAAAGACCCATTTTCTCAGAAACAGCCACAAGATTTTGATCAAAAGTGTCTCTTCCTTTGCAAAACAGAAATGACAAGTGACTAAGTTTTACTTTTGAGGCACGTTCTTTTTACCCCCAGACTTCTGAAGCTTAATAACGACTTCAAGGTTGCAAAATAGTCCAATCTCTAACTGGAGCTTGCTGCTTACAATAACGTTTTTGTCAAGAGACTATAATAATATATATTATACTAAGTGCCATTTTGATGCTTCCATTCTTCACGTTTCTGGCTCCTGATCTTTTTCTTAGGGATTTTTATTTTTTCTCTGCAGCGTGACCGAATTACAAGTTTCAGAAAGTCTACCGTCAAAAAAGAAAAACCTCTTATTCAACATCCTATTGATTCTCAAGCCGCGATGACTGAGTTTCCAGCAGCTCAGCCATTATATGATGAACGATCTCTGAATTTGTCTGAAAAGGAAGTTCTGGACCTCTTTGAGAAAATGATGGTGAGTTCACCCTCTAATTTCATTGTCATTTTAAACTGTGTCTAGCCTAGCACTGCATTTTAAATAGGGATGTTTGTGATGGACTGTTTATGTCATATAAAGGACAGCATCAACCCTTGTTGACAAAACAGAAGCATTTGCACGAATATCTGGATTTGTTTGTTTGTTTATTTGCTAGAATGCCTATCTGTTCTAGTCAGAGTGCCTAAAATCAGCGACAGATTTATTGCTCTTCATCTTTTAGTATTTTGTAGTTTGTGGCACACCAGATCAATTTTTCCATTAACTAATTTGTGTGCTTGCTGGTCCAAAACAAAGTGCACCCAAGTCTACAAGGCCTGTTGATTATATGAAATACAGTTGGGAAGACAGAGTGTAAAATAAACAACAAAATGGTAATTGGAAGTAAGAAATTAATTCTTTCTGTTTTCTCATATTAGCAGCAGTCACACAATTTACATTTTGTGGAGTTTTTATGTTTCTTTTTGTGTGGCCTAAATTATTTCTAAAATAATAAACATAATACTTGGATTATTCAACACTTTATGTCTGGAAAAGGGATAAATGAAATATTGGGCCATCTCACATTGGTTAGCTTGACCAGATTTCTTTTAGAGATATCAAAACATGATTTGTTAATTTAACATTCTCTTCTTACACATCAACATACATTTTATATAAAAGAATGCAGTAACATTTGTCTCATCCTTTCCTTTGTCAAAGAAGCCCTATTCCATCTTTAATTATTAATATTTCTCAGTCACTCGATTGTTTCTGTTTCCTATTCCATTGTCCTGACTTAATTGCCAAAAAACAATGACAATAACAATAAACCCAGAAACATTCTTTGAGATTATTTTGTTAATAACACTTTGTCTTTTTCGGTCTTTTCTTTTTCACTCAAAACTTAAGTTTATAACTTTAAGTTTCTGATCAGTTTAGCTAGTTCTTTGGCAGCATTGACAGTGTCTTCTGGGTTCAGTGCCCTTGCCATATTCAAGGTTCCTTAAAGTTCAGCAGTATGGGGTTATGTTCTACTCCATCCATTTTTCTCATTTAACTCTTAGTTGCTGGTCAGATCCTATTGGTTCAGCTTCTGTAACAACTGTTGGATCTACGTCCTTTCTCATTGCTTAGACAGTCCTTCTCGTAGTTATTTCTTGTAGCTACTAAGATTGAGTCCTAACTGTTCTTCTGCTCATTTTCCAGGCTTTGCTTCTTATCCAGTATACCTCTCGTAATTCTGAGACAGATTCCTTTTCAAAAGCACATGGGCCTTTATGTCTTTGGACAGTCATTTTAAATGACCCCACTGTTCTTACACTTGTGGCCTTAGGTGACTATATCACATTTTTGCTGTTGAAATATTAGAACTCTTTCTGTATTTTTCTGGTGATGACTTTGTTGCCTAATTTATGGAATAAAATGAAAGGATCAGAAGTGGGTCTCTACTACCACATGTACCTTGACTCTGCACTAACTGAACTGTTTTGCTTGTTATATCTGTGTTTATAAATAGTTTGCATTCTTTTTTTACCTACTTAGACCTCGGTTCCCCCATTTTATTCAGTGTAAAGCTATTGTATTGTTGCCTGGTGTCACTGTGCATGCCCGTAATATCAATGCTCTGGAGGCTGAGGGAGGAGGATTGTAGTTAAGAAGCTAGCTACATAGAGGCATCCTATCTCAATCCATCTCAAATACTGTCATATTTCTACTACTTTTCTCCAAGTTGCACACATGCCTTTTATAGGCTTCAAACCCTATGCAATAGTGATTCCCATTAATTTACAACTTGTAGGTACTATATAAACTATAACATTGCATAATTATGTTTTATGATTTCATGTTAATTCTAATGTTTACTAGAATGTTATCTTTTAAACAAATCTTTAAATGTATGATATTTTGTAGAAGAATTTGTTGGATTCATTGTTATTTAAGCAAATGTATAAGTTAGTACTACATTTTTCCTAATGGAATTATTTTTTTTCCATACGGCTTTGGAGGAGCATATTAAACACATATATTTTATAGGAAATATAATTTTGTGTTATTGTTTAATTTGATACATATCATATATATCATTGTCACCTACATAAAAATATTATATACTTGAATATTGACAACAAAATGTGTGTATATCCAGTAGTGTGACTACTGGATTATGCTATTTACTATTTGATGATGACTATATTATTTTCTATAATGGCAATGATAATTTAGATTCCCATCAGCAACACAATGAGTCCTCTTGTTTCCATATCCTTGCCTATAGGTGTTATCTTTTGTTTTTTTTTTTTTGAGCATGGCCATTCAAACAGGTATGAGATGAGTTACCACATTGTGGGCTTAGTTTGTTTTATAAAAAGAAAAAAATAGGCATAGAAAAACAAATATTGATGATCTCATTGTTGTACAGAATCTAAAGAAGTTGATGTCATAGAGTTAGGGAGTAGAATGGTGGTTATAGTCGAGTTCTAATTTGCTTTTCTCTCGAGGTGAAAAACAAGATGTCCAAAGCAACATGGGGAGGTAAAGGTTTGATTTAGTTTCTACTTGTAGGTAACAGTCAATCACTGAGGGAAGTCACAGTAGGCAGCTGGAGGCTAGAACCAAGGAGGAATATTGTTAACTGGCTCACTCCAAGACTATGCTCAGCTAGTTTTCTTAAATAGCGAAGGACTACATGCTCTGGGATGGCAATGCCCACAATGGGCTGGGTCCTCTCATATCAGTTATTAGTCAAGACAATTTCTCATAGACATGGTTGCTAGTCTGAGTCAGTTATTCTATTTAGATTCCCCATTTCCAGGAGACGCTATATTTTGACAAGATGACAATAAAAACTAGTTTTAACACAGGAGTTGAAGTTGTTGGGAGAAAAATAGTGAGATGATAGACAAAGGATTATAAGTGTTTGCTTAGGTATGGGGGATAAGTTTACAGAGATCTGTTGTATAAAGTAATGACTATAATTAATAACACATTGTTTTGAAAATGTTAAGGTTTAATAAAAAGTGTTCTTAGCACACAATTATTTGAAATAGTGTCTATTAATGGGCTACATTTAGTCACTGAACAATGTGTGTTGTACATGGTAAATACAGGTTTTATCAATTGAAAAACTTATAAGTGTCAAACAAATGTAAGTGAATATATTCAGTGAGTACATATCTTCATAGTGAATATATATTATAAACATTTGTAGTATGTTTTTCCTTTATCATGTAAACCTCGATCATTGTTCAGTTGCCAACATAATCATTGAGAACAGAAAAACAGAAACACTGATATGTGTAAATATCATTTATAAATAAACACACTATTTAAAATAATAAAATGTATCAGGAATAGCCTTTGTGAGAAACATGGTTTGATTAAAAGTTAACAACTAAGATAAATGAGAAACTTTTAAAGGATTGTATCTATTCTTTGAGAGTAGTTTTCTTGTACTGTGTATGTATGCTATTTTTAGTTTGACCAATATTGCCTTACAATGAATGTGTTATTTTCAGAATCAGCATTGTTTCTATTTACTATATGTTCATGGCCCAGGCATGAAATGACAAAACACTATTTTTTGTATTATTTTGGTGTACTTTGCATCTTTGGCATAATTTAATGATGGGATACTTATATGTAATAAGTGCTTAATTATCGGTTTTGTATTCCACAAGTTAGAATTCTCACAGGTCATCCTAAAGCTTTTAATCTTGTTCTTTTCCTTTTCCCCTTCATTAATTTACACAGAAGAATTGCCTCTGGACACCAGGTGCTCTACTTTAACCAAAGCATATTGTGTTCCCTTGACTGCTATTAAGGGATCTTTTTTTCTCACTCAGCATCAGGTTTTTAGAAGTTTGTTAGCTTGGCCGAGGACCTTTGAGTGCTCTTAGCATAAGTAAGTTTAATTAGCAGTTAAGTTCCCATAAAATACATTATTGGTAAACTAGGCCTTCACATCTAAAAAAAGTCATGGAACAGTTGTCAGAAATGATTAGAGTCTAAGAAATTGTTCATACAGCCCAGTTTCCACCAGTTACGTTTAAATTTCCTACATCCTTACCCCACATTTTAGACTATGCTCTACATTTTATTTTACCGTGAAGAATTGTATGGGAAACATGTAAAGGAGTAGCACTCGGTAACAGATGTCAAAACTAGTCTGGATCTAGATCAGTTTAATTTTTTTTTTGCAGTTATTAGTGCGAAAAGTTCATAAGGGAAACGGAGACAGACATTGAAGGAGGAGATACTAAAGAACTAGGTTTACAATTTGATGTAGTGGACAAGTTCAGTACCCGCTGCTTCTTTTCTAGATCTGCATATGGAAATGCCTTGAAATACTACCTTTTTTAAAAAGGGCATTTTTCATATTTTTTACAAGTACATTTTAGCAATTATTAGTTCTGTGCTATGTACTAGATAGTATGCTATGGGCTTCAGGTTTAGAAATAAATACAGCACCTCCCCTTACCCTCAGAGAGCAGAGTTTAGGCAGGGAGACAGGTAAGCATGGCTTCCCTAGTTCTAGGATAGCTATGGATCAGCTGCTTTAGTGCGGATATAGTCCTTTGAGCCTCTCATGGGGGCTCAGGAAAGAAGCAGATGAAGTTGGAAAGAAAATGTGAAAAGCTAGTGTCCACTTCTGAATTATCAGTCTTTAGTTTTCTGGCATCAGTGCATTCTTAGAGTTTGAGGAATTCATCAAAGTTCAAGGGTTCCAATATCCTAGGCACTATTTTAAGTTCTGGAAAGAGAGAGAGCAGCTAATACCTCAAAGAAAATCTTGATGATCAAGGAGTTTATGTTGTGATAGGGTGACATATCAAAACATAAGGTGGCATTGTGAAAAGAAGGAATAGCAAAAAAGCAAGTTGCAAGTCCTGGTAAATTTGCTTTGACAGCTCTTGCCAGAATGTTAGATGCTCTTTTGTTTCAGAGGACATAAACATATCAAAGGTACTTTTCCCCACAGGAGGACTTCACTTTGTATG